TCTTCATTCTTTAAAGCTGTCCTGCAAGAACTACACCTCTACAGCAAACAGCTACAACACAAAGTTACAAGAAGACTGAAGATCCATGGAAAAACTGGTTTTGAAACTTACATGGTCATCAGGTACTTACTAGACTGTCTCACTCTTCTGTAAACGACAAACACAACAACTGCTACAAGCAACAGTGCAACTGCAGCTCCAATTGCAATTCCAGTCAGCTGGGAGGGGAATTTAGAGAGAAAGAAGTCAATAATTTTCAGCTTCAGAAGTTACTACATACTTTTTGAAGGGCTGAAGAACACTCAGTTCAGTGAGATGTCTAAAAGTCAAACACATTCATAAATACTTTTAAATTTAATTCAAATTATTAAAATTTATCAAATAATTTTTAATTTTTAATTCAAACATCTCATATGCAAGAAGCTTTGCCAGCAAGAGGAAAATGAAGTGTACACCAAGTCACCAAACTGGTCCCTCTAATGGAATTTATTCCAGTTTTACAGCACAAAAGAAACTCCTGCCAGACCAGTCACCTCACACAGACCCCTCTGCTCACTTTGCCTCCTCAGGTCACTTTAGCACTTTAATGTTGATCTTCCCAACATGAGTCAAACTAACTCTGTCACTATTGTTATCAGACTATTACTCATGGGATTGTAGTGAAAAGTCTCAAGACTCTGAAAAAATAAAAAGCTGAAGATGTGTCAGCAACAGGTACAACACCTGGTGACACAGAGTTCCTGCAGAAGTCTCTTGTGGTCACTTAATGTATTTATTTCCCCTTGACAGCGTCAGGGACACTGGGACATGGACAGTTCTGCTGCTCCCCTGACCTGTATGAGCTCAAATAACACCAAAAATAGTAATTGCCAACTGACACATTGCTGCTGCAAGAGGAGAAACAAATCCATGGGGAAAAGAACAAAACACAAACATGCCCAGGCTGGGGCCCCAGTGCAGAAAAGCAACAAGGGAAAGAAGAATTCAGAACTCCAAGAAACACTGAGAGGTTCTTGCCATGTTTTCACCAATGACAACATGATATTCCCCTGCTCAGACTCAGGGGGATCTTTCCCAGCCTGGACAATCCTTGTGGACAAGCAGAGGAAGCAAAGCAGCCAGGCTGAGCTGTGCAGACACCTGAGACATGTCAGTGATTGCTGTGACAGCTCCTGGGACAGGAATGAGGTCACAGCCAAGCCACCAGGGCAGCTCCTCTCTGAGCTGAGGAGGGCTGTGCTCAGCACCCAGCCCAAGAACTTCACCTCATCCAGCCCCAAAGAACCCTCTCAGACCCACAACATCTGTGGGACCACCCTGCAGGGCCCCTTACTGCAGCTGAAAATGGAGCAGCCTCCTGCCCAGAGCGTGGATAAAGAGCATTTCTCTGCTTCCTGATGCTGAAGTTTCTTAAAGAACTGGAGATTTAACAGCAATCAGCACAAATATGCAGCCTCACAACTGCAGCTCACACCCATCCAGAGTACAGGCACCCAGCACTGCTGAGAGTCCAACAGCTCCTCGCTGCAGTCCAAGGCAAACACTGACACATTCCCTGTCCAGGCAGGGGTGGGAAAGCCTTATCAGCCCTGAAAACAAGGACTTAAAATTGGGATTAGGCCAAAACACAAGGCTTCCTCATAGCTCAGGGGCATCTGTGTCTTGTATTGACTACGAAACCTGGATTTTCACAAAACATTGTTAACTGTGTACAAGTACATTGTGCGTGTTTTTTACTTCTGAGAACTATTTCCTCTCATGGGGTTTGTTTTTTGATTTATTACTACCCTCATTTCTAGGGAAACGTTTTGACTAGGGAAAGCCTTGTTGGTCTAAGGTTCAAATTTATGATCAAAAACAAATGCAAGAAGAGCAGTCTGCCAGAATTCTACAACTCCTCCTTATTTAGGCTAAAAATGAAAGTATTTAAATCATAGCATTATTGAAACAGCTTAGAATATGAAGCAGAGCATGCATGATTTGTAAGAAATAAAAAACACACACACAATAAAATGGGACTAATCCTTAAAAGCCTGAAAGGATAAAACTCCCAGCAGGAAAGTCTCTTTCAGAGTAAAAGCATCTGAAGGCATTGCTCCTGTGTTATCAAATTAGGCACAGCTGCTTTCAGTTTCTGGAAACCCTCAAAGGGAAATAAATAAGTCCAAAAATAAGAATAAAGCATATCGTACCTCAAGGCTGGTGCTGTTGTCTCCTTCATCCATGTCTGGAGGTGCGGCAGGAGCAAAGATAAACACAAAGACATAAGGCTGAGTTCAGAGATTACCTCAGTTCTGGCCCAAACTCCCGAACAACACAAGGGGAAAAACAATTTTTTAACTTTATCGTCCCTTCGTCTCTGTGCTGAGCAACAAAGGCCAGCGCTGGGGGACGGGACTTCTCCCGAACAAACTTCTCCACAGCCACGGGAATTTAAACAGGAGCTCCCCGGGAGCCTCCAGCCCGGCGGGACAGCCAGACCCATCCCTGCTCCCTACGGAGCACCAGCACCGGAACGCGGGCCGGGCAGTGCCCGGGGCCAGCAGCGACACTGCCCGGGCAGGGAGCGGGCACCGGGCTGCGGCCAGGGCAGCCCCGCTCCCCCTCCTGCTACCCCGGCTGGACACGGCTCACCCTCCCGGCCAGCCCCGGGTGCTCTGCCCGGCTTTCGCCAGGCCACAGCTCGGGACACGGGCTCGAACAAGACA